TCGTAATTACAAAGCATGCACGCGCAACAGGTCGTTTCCAGTTATTTTTTGGTCCCCCTTCATATATCTACTGCCGCTGTGATTACAATCAAATGCAAAGACACAAATAAACCTCACTTACTATTAGGTGTATGCCTTGTATGATGAATACCAGTTTGCCACATACTGCTCCTATTTCCCGAGGCTTGAAGTTGACACGAAAAGAATGGCTCTTCTTTGGAAGGAGTGTAATACACTTCTCTCCCATCACAAGCCCATCACTGTCAATTAACTGTAATATAAAAATGAATCCAAATATAATGGTTACTAAAGACACCTGGACAGTGTGCAATTAGATGACTTTTGTTTCTGGTGCTTACCCATTAAAGATCTCATAGGCTTTAAAGGTTATGAAAAATTGTTATTACTGCTATTAATACTGGTAGTGAGAAACCCTGTAAGGTCCAATTCCCTGGATGCCAAATATACATTTAAACAAAATGATAACTGTAACTATATACAGTAAAACTTGGTTATAGCAACATCGGTTTCTGCGACACCTTGTCTATTGCGTCAAACATTCAATGGTACGAACTAATTCCTCATAAAGCAACTGTTTTTATACCTTGCTTAGTACGACATGCACAAATGCATCAACCTCGTATGTAACGTCATTTTCATTCCTGAATTTCTCTGATATGGACATTGAACGTAATTTAGAAAGTGTGTATTGGGCAAGTAACAGGAAACAGATGAAGATAACTGATTACTGTACTCGTATCTAGGTACAGTAAGGCACAACAATTGATGTAATCTACTGTAATTTGGTGAGTAGGCCTACCTTTAATATACAGTATTAGTGCGGTGTGTATTGTCAGTGAAAAGCGCTGTAATATGTCTTTGATATTACACATTTGGGCAATTCCACGTTAATGTTACGTTAGTCTGTACTTAACTACGTATTTCACTAAAAAATGCAACATTTTAACTCGGTTTTTGGTAGATTTTTACGTGACTAACATAAGGCTACTGTGGAAGTGCCCATTTCGGTTACGACATTCGTTTATAACGACACTATTTTTAGGTCCCTTTGATGACGTTATAACCAAGTTCTACTGTATTTATACAGAGATCTGGGCAGAGAATGAGCTTGTAAACTTTAACATTTTTAACTTGGCACTCATTTTATCAACAAATTAAACTTTAGAATGAGTTTGATGGTGATGTTGATCTTATTTTGTGGTTAAGGTATTGTATGGAAATGGGATATATGCAGGGCAGTCAAAAAGTTCCTGAAATTCCCCTGCAGAAGGAGATGGAGAACATGCAATAAGATAGCACACACACTGTTGTGGTGGGGAGCTCAGCATGTCTGCTTGCAGGTGCAACAGGTCTGGACAGGTTTCAGTGTGCAGTGTCATTACTGTTCCATTTGAATTAGACGCGAGTGTTGGCCATTTGGCGCAATGTTGCAGTTCGAACAGCGTGCGAACATAAAGTTCATGTGCAAATTGGGAAAATCTGCTCCAGAGACACAATCGACCCTGCAGCAAGTTTACGGTGATACTGCAAAAAAGAAATCTGCAGTTTACGACTGGTTTTCCCAGTTTAAGAATGGGCAGGAAACGTTAGAGGATGACCAGTGCAGCGGGACACCTCTGACAACCAAAACCAAAGAAATGATTGGAAAAGTGGGACAACTGATTCAATGTGATCGAAGAATGACTATCGCGGAGTTGGAGCAAGAAGTTGGTATCTCTCACGGATCCATTCATGCCATTTTGTCTGATGATTTGAAGATGAGACGTGTCAGTGCGAAGTTTGTTCCGCGGCAGCTGACCATGGATCAGATGGAATATCACATGATGGTCGCTGGTGATCTGTTTGACAAAAGTACGCAGGACCCTACGTTTCTCAAAAAAATTGTCATTGGTGTTCACCTACGACACGGAGATGAAGATGCAGTCATCAGAGTGGCAGACAGCGTCATCTCCCCAGCCAAAAAATCACGCCTCGTCAGATCCAAAGACAAAGTGATGCTCATTGCATTCTTTGACATCGACAGTTTGGTGCACCATGAGTTCATACCGCCTGGACAGACTGTTACTGGCCATTTCTACATGCAAGTTTTGCAGAGGTTGCGCAATGCAGTTCGGAGGAAGCGGTATGACAAGTGGCAGGGACAGTGGTTTCTGCATCACAATAACGTACCAATCCATACATCGCTTGTTGTGCAGCAATTCCTGGCCGAGAAAAACATTCCTCTCATCACTCAACCACCATACTCTGCAAATCTCGCTCCAAGTGACTTTTGGCTGTTCCCTACTCTGAAAATGGGCTTCAAGGAGACACATTTCGCAACCATGGAGGACATCAAATCGAATGCAAGTGCTGAGCTCCGGAAGATTCCAAAAGAAATCTTCCACTGCTGCTTCCAACAATGGCAGGATAGATGGAGCAAGTGTGTATGCGCACAAGGGTCCTACTTTGAAGGTAATTAGGTAAGTGTTGCCGTATGTCCTACCATTAGAGTGCTATACCACCATTCCAGGAACTTTTTGACTGCCCCTCATATTACCCATTGCAACACAGCACAATCACCCAAAAATAGGATCAACACATAAGGGTTTTGTTTATTCCCTGCAATGACAATATACATATTTCGTTTTTCTAAGATATAAGAGAACTTTATTCAGGAGATGTGCATGAGAAACTTTAATGTATTGCATTAATTTCTGTACAGTGAAACTTTAATACTTTCAATGCACACATACATAGCAGACACGAACATAATTTTTTTAATTATGCAAGTTTAGAACATTAAACCATCAAAGGAAGATTAAACTGTGACATAAATATTATTCAAGCATGAATTATACAACTGAATTATTTTTTAAAGTAATCAATACCTCATAAGAATGGAGTTTGTCTTCAACATAAACATAGACAGCCAATTTGGAACAGTCTTCACTGCGGATGGCAAATGACTTAGTGACACTCTTGCCAACAGCCACACTGCCCCACACTAATTGACGATGGGTTGTTCTAACATTCAGTTTTTCTCCAGCTGTGGAACCACCGCTGTTGCTCTTCTGTGATTTTATGGAATGCCATTCACAACTACACTTAGACTGTCCACTACTGCATACAGATTTCACACTTGAACAGCCTACAATTACAACATATTCATTGGTTCATGCAGTCATGTAGTATATCTTCAGTCTGTGCCATGTACATCTTCAAATAAGACGGTACTCAAACTCTGACCCACCTTCATAATTATACCGTACCTTTGGATGACTGGTAAGACAGTGCCTTTCCAAGATGCTTATCAGATTCACTTTTATACAGCGAGTCTTTGGTTGTAGCTACAACTTGTTCAGGCTGAAATTTTGGTTTTCTAATTTCCTGACTGCCAGTTGCAGTCATTACTCCTGTCACTTCTACAAAATACACAGGTCCATGTGGTTGCATTGTTATCTGAAGCATCCTAGCAACATCAGAAAACTACATATTTTAATACAGCCAAGTGCAACTAAATTAACTACCCCAAGTACCAAATCTGTCCAGCCTGTTACATGTACCAGAGATGGCATGGACAAAAACCAGTAATTATTTTACCAAAGCAATCTAAAAATGCATAATAAATCACATGCTACTCCATTGATTTCCAGTACTAAATTATTATTTTAATGATTAGACAAATGAAATGAAAGGTATTATAAAACCAAAACTATTTCACGAGGGTGAGTCAGAAAGTATCTGCAATTAATTATTTATTACACAATACAATTATAATGAGTATGAACAATAGCATCATTTTTCTGCATATTTCCATCCTTTTCAACACATTTAATTCAGTGGCCAGCAAGCTTCTGCATGCGCTCAGAAGAAAATATTTTTGGCCAAGTGACAATCCACACAGGCACCGCACCTTTCACTTCTTGGTCACTGGCAAAACTGCAGCCTCTCAGATCATCTCTGAAAGGACCAAAAAGGTGATAAGGACACAAGAAGCCAGAGCAGGACTATATGGAGGATGCTTCAACACCTCAAAGTTCAGTTGGCATAGGTTTTCAATGGTGTGGGTGGTAGTGTGCAGATGAGCATTACTGTGCAACACTAAAACATCTTTTGACAACAGTCCCTGGTATTTGGTTCAAATAACTGGTTTCAACTGGTCTTGAAAAATTACACAATAAAACACAGTTTACTGTTATGCCCTGGTCTTGGTTGTGTTCCAAAACTGGCCCTTGTGCATTCCTCACCCAAAAGAAAGTGTCAACATCAATTCTGCCACTGATGGTTGAGTTCTGAACTTCTCTCTGACTGGCGATGTTACATGTTTCCATTCCATACTCTGGCGTTTGTTTGCTTTCTGAGGGATAACAGTGCATCCACGTCTCATTCCCAGTGACAATGCATCTCAAAAACGCATCACCTTCGTTACATCAGCAGGTCAACAGGCCTTGACAGATTGTCAAATGGTTGTGCTTGTCCCCTCCTGTTAGTTGTTTTGGAACTCATCTTGCACAGACTTGGTGAAACCCAAGTCATTCTTGGATGATTCCATGATGGATGCACAGATGATGCACCACTTCACTAATAATCACGTGTGTCAATTATCCAGAATTGTGGCACGGACTCATTCAGTGTTTTCGTCTGAAGTGTATGTGGACGGGTGCTGTGACTGTTCTTCATCAGTGTCATTTGTGTGGCCGTATTTCAACCCTCAAAAATCATAGGACTGCATGGTGCTCTTCCTTAATTCATATGGGAAGTGGAGTGACCATTGTTAACCCTGCTACAATGACACTATAACTAGCCTGTCGAGATCAAAAGCAATTCAAAATCATGTAGGAACCCTGTGCCTCTACTTGCACACAAAATAAGAAGTGCAGCCAACATATAAGCTTTAAAATAAATACAAGGTGACACAGAAAAACGGGAACTTTTGAGGTGCGTAGTGGCAGCCATGTACAGTTCGTAGCACTACGGAAGGGGACTGTGAGCTGTAAACAATCACGCCATTCAGTAATAATGGAGGAATGGAACGGTAGACAGCGTGCTTTCACGATAAAAATGTTTTACAAAACTGACGATAGTTTGGAAGGTGCGCAGAGGGAGTTCCATCGCTTTTTCAAATTAGGGCGTCATGGTCGCGTTCCTTCAAAACACACGATAAAAACTTGGGTTCAAAACTTTGAAGAGACTGGATCTGCTCTGAAAAAGAAACTGACAGGACGACCAAGAAGTGTTCGTACTCAGCAGAATATCGAAACTGTACGCGTTTTAGTCTTACAGAGCCCACAGCGTTCAGTTCGTAAGCAAGCAGCTGCAGTCAGAGTGTCCTGAGAGAGTGTTCGCCGAATTCTCCGTTTTGATTTAAATTTTCATCCGTACAAGCTGCAAATTGTGGAACAGCTGAAGGAGAACGATCACCAGTTGCGATTACAATTCTGTCAGCAAATTATGACAAACATAAACGAGGACAATGAATTTCTGGACAAGCTATGGATGTCAGATGAGGCCCATTTCCATCTTACAACCCTAAAGAAGTTCATGAACGCCCTTTACACGCCAGCAAGGTCACAGTATGGTGTGCAGTTTCGTCACACGGGGTCATCGGACCTTACTTTTTCGAAAATGAAGACCGGATCACAGTGACTGTCACTTCAGATCCGTATGTTGAGATGTTGCAAACTTCTGTTGCACCTGCATTGAAAAATTTCCCACAACTTCACGAAACCTGGTTTCAGCAGGATGGTGCGACATCGCACACTGCAAGGCAATCAATTGCAGCTGTGCGAGAATTGTTTGGTAATCGTGTCATCTCAAGATTCGGTGACATTCCTTGGCCCCCAAGATCACCGGATTTATCAGATTGTGATTTTTTCTTGTGGAGCTACCTCAAGAGTCGGGTCTACACGACTCGGCCAAGGACACTGGATGAATTGAAACAAAGAATTGAAGAAGAAATTCGTGGTATCCCAGCTGAGATGTTGCAGCGATCAGTGGGGAACCTGAACAACAGATTAGGAGAATGTATACGTAGACAAGGAAGCCATCTGCAGGACGTAATTTTCAGAAATTGATAATTTGGATTGTTGTTTCTTAAAAGGCAAGTTGTAGTGGTTCAATTACTGTCAATAAAATTTTTTGTTGTTGCATGTATTCTATTTTTATTTGTTTGCCAAAAGTTCCCGTTTTTCTGTGTCACCTTGTATTATGGACTCGTTCTATACTAATTTCAGTGAATAAATTATGATTTCAGAACTCACAATACATTCAAAGTCATACAAAATATAACACAAATGTCACTACAGCCTTAATGAAATTTAATAATCCCTCATATCAGCAGTCAGTGCTCTGATCACTTATGCTTGTGACTGCACATATTGCTATCTGAGGCTCAAATGAAGGTTTGAAACCAATGACATATTCTTCTGACCACATTTGGGTTTGCTACATCAGGTGCAGGTGGGGCCAGGGCTCATAAATCCTGGTGGGACTATAGGACTCCAACCAAGAATTTTGGAAATTTTATATGAAACAAAACATTGGAAATAGGAGTGTGCAGAGCAAAGGTATGAACTAGCTTTTATGCCAATTCATTCCAAATTTCTGTTCTTACCTTTGCACAGGTTCTTTGAGTGGTCTGGATGAAGTAAACCTGATGATGGGTTCTACCTGCTCCCCTGGCTGTAACTCAACCTTCCCAGGCTCAACAGTCATTGATATGGGCTCAGTGTCAGATGGCAATAATTGCAGGTCAAGAGTCAGAGGAACAAGACCGTGATTCCTGATTGGTAAATGACATGTGTCAGTCTTTCCAGGTCCTTTGATGGCAAGCTGCATAGGTATCGCTGGACGAAAGATTCCCAACTTTGTTGTACCAACGCTACCAATTAATTTGAAACTCTCCAATTCAATTTGTATGATACCAATAAGCTTCAGAGACAGTACTCCAGACAGCTTCACAAATCCTTTCTGTGCTGCTTCTAGAGGAATTACACAAAGTCACATTTATATAAATACAGTATGAATTTCCGCCATTTAATACATAAATATGAAAACACAAATTATTTCAATAAAAGAGTGAAGGATATAAATAGAAATGAACCACAGGTTGTCAGAATTGGGCACTAATATGTGAAGAGGAAATGGCGAAAATACAACTCCATACAGACAATAGCCAAATGTATCCATCAACCGCACTGTTTCTCCCAAACAGGGTAGGATGGATTCAGTGATTCAGTATTGAGGAGGTGGGTTTCCCCATGCACCGCGACTTATAGTCTATTGTACTTCCCCCTTTTAATTTCTACCGTCTCCATCGCCTACCGATACTGGTGCTCGCTATCAGTCCCTTTCTGCCAGCGAGGTTTCTACCCTCTACTTGGCAGTGGTATCTAATAGTTAGTCCCTTTCTGTCAGTGAGTTAGTCCCTTTCTGTCAGCGAGTTAGTCCCTCCTCTGGCAGTGGTACCTAATACTTTAGCCCCTTTCTGCCAGTGAGGTTTCTACCCTCTACTTGGCAGTGGTATCTAATAGTTAGTCCCTCCTCTGGCAGTGGTACCTAATACATCCCCATCTATCGGAGGCATTGGAAACTATTTGGGCGGGAAACTTTTTGGCCTAATTTAGCTCAGAGGCCTCCTAGAGGCATGAGGTTCTTTTACGTGCCGTAAATCTATGACACGGGACCCACGGCTTAAAGTCCCTCCCGGAGGACTTGTTCCCTGAATTTTTCCGCCCTTAAAAATTCCATGACCTCCACTGGGTTTGAACCCGCGTACCTTGAGTCATTAGGTGGGAACGTTACCCCTAGACTACGGAGGCCGCTTGGGTAGGATGGAAAGAAGGTAAATATAAAAACTGTTTAAATAAATGTCTAGTACACAACTCCCAGTACCAAACATTTTAAACTTATTTGAACAATTTTTGCTTAAACACAACTTATACCACTTCAGATGCCTGGACTGTCTACTGAGATATGTTGGACAACTGGAACAGACTCTGCACACTAGATACACACAGCACATCCAAGCAATATATAGCAAAAACAGCAACTCTGGATAATTCAACAACACACTAAACACAGAACACACATACAGACCAATGGATATTACAGAAAAAAAGAACAAGGAAAACATCTGAACAGCCCAAGAGACATCACATCTACCTGGCTAGGAAGAACGAACTCCACATGAAGAATACCCACACAGACGCAAAAAAACAAATATTTAATACATTACATCAACTTAATGCTGCCAATAGCAGCAACCTCAACTACACACATTACGTAAATTCACCCACAGTTCAGACACACACACACATCAACAAACTGAAACATAACTGACTTTGGTGGAGGGACCCAATGACGAAAACCAACAAGCACATAAATTCATGCATGTCTCTATCTAAAAATGGAACCCAAAATTTATATATCACACATTTCAGACACAAATCAACAGGAAACCAAACCAGAACAAAGTACAATAACAAAACAAAACACTAATGAAGTATTCTAATGATATGAAGAAAGCAAGAGGACTTCAATATAAAGTTTCACACCATGTTTGTTTATTTCAATTTAAATTCTACTGACAACTATCTCAAGCATATACAGTGTACCAATTTACATAACCGTACAACTGTACCTCACGATGGCCACGTATGACAAAAACAAGAAAACAAGTACACAAGTGACTGTGTGAATATTTAAACAAAAAACCACACAATTCAGAAAGTGAAGGAAAGTGTTAAGTACAAAAGGGCAAAAGCCCAACTAAATATTCAATACTTTTACTCACTTGTTAGAAGCCTCATTGGTGGAGCAGCAAACATGACTGTCACATTTATTTCATCCCCAGTCTTTAAAGTGAATGTCAGTTCCCTTGAAACTTCACTTTCAGCCATGTTCTTATTCTTTTGCTTTTCAGGGTCCAATAAAACAAAAGTGGAAAGCCTGTCTTGGGCCTACAAAGTTATACAGCATAACTTACAGAAATAGTCTCAACATGGTTACAGTGAAATATAATACAACAATGAACCACATACAAAATTTTCAGGTTTATAAAATATTAATAACTCTCAAAGACTTGTGTATGACTAATTAATTGAATTACAAAACTCAATTCTAAAATGTTCCAAAATATGTGTGTATGCATGTGGATTTGAAAGCATATCAGCATCTAAGCATGAAGGGACATGTTCCTCCAAAACACTGGATAACTTTCACAGGATTACACAGTCTTATATCCCATAACATAGAACTCAACAGCTGTGAGAACCACAAATTCTATCTATTTACACCTGTTTAAAATTCAGATACAAAATCCACAACTCAACAAAAGATAATATTCATAGATATACATAACTGTCACACTACTTAAAGGGGTATAACAGTAAAATGGTGTGTGAGTGTAAAATTGCTAAGTTACTTACAGGGATCATACTTTAAAAAGTCATAAAAAGACATCACTCTATGAATGGAGCAAATAAAATATAGAAGTATGTAAGGGTAGGAACCAAGGAAAACTTGCTTTCAGCAGTAGCTCTACTTCTTTGTCATTGGGGACCTCTAATAATAATAATTTCTGTTCTCTGTTTGTGATGCATTTTTAATTTTGCCACAATATGATTCAGAGCCTTTTGTATAATCATTCAAATAGTTTTTTCTTTAGCTCTAAATTTTCATGTAATGATAAGTCCCCATACGGTGTCTTTCGACTCATAAAGGTTAATGTACAAAAAAATTCTGCTGATTACACTTCAGCTTTCACTAAGAATTTGATACAGCACTGTTCTGCAGTAAAAGTGACAAGGTCTGATGCCATCTTGCACTAGCTCTAACGCATAGAAATGGGGCATATAACCGCCTACCAGACAGTGAGTGCAGTAAAATGACTGCTTTTTTTGACATTATCCATCATCCTGTTTTATTTAAAATGTTTTGGATACTGGACTCGTTTCTCCTTCCTGAAGCAAAAAAGTCTACTCAGTTTGGCCCAATCAACAGAGTACAATCATGCCATATTTTGTTCACAGAAGTTTTATTTTTCTAGTTCCCATGTCTTCAGGAAAAAATGAAGTCCAGGTAAAACCTGAACCACTCTTGTGGGTCTAAATGGATTCAGTCTTCTCTGAAATTACACCTAATGTGAAGAAAAAGCTCCAAGAAGTTTCGTTTGTAGAGAAAAAATGTGTTCTGAGCTTTAAGGGTTACCAGATACATTACTGGACGCCAAGATTGAAACAACTATAATATCACAGAAAAAAATTGCAACCAACGTTTTAGGAAAGAAGGACAACAATTGTGATTACCTGATGAACAGTAACAAGTTTAAGAGGAATACTTGCAGCACCACGGTTATGGAATTTCAAGCTTATTTCCTTTGCACATTCCTCTGGCAACACACCAAAGTCCACACTCATGTCAGAATTGTCAGCCTTTGTTATCATAATCTGAAACAGTTGGAACAATCAGGTAATATGTATAATGTGAGATCTGAGATTCTCACAGCAGTGAATAAGGTTACCGTCTTGTGCGATATGATGACATGTAGTGTGATAAAAGTTACTAATGTTTAGAAGGAATCTTCTACCTTCATCTTCAGAGCATATGAGGAAGGGCAGAAACTCTGAAGATGGAGATAACAAGCACCTCCACAATTTCAGCAATTTTCTAAAAGGCTACAAGGGATAACTTCCTTGTGATTAACTAATTAAGCACTATGCTATGAAGATATATTCTCCAAAGTGAACTATACTGACCGAGCGACCGCCGCTTGTTGGTTAAGTTAGTGCCAACTTTTTCGGATAGAGGGTGTCGTTTGGTCAGTGCAACAAATCCCCACGGCCGTTAATTTCGGTTTTCTAGACCGGAGCCGCTATTTCCTTGAAATAGCTCCTCAATTATCATCACAAGGCTGAGTGCACCCCGTTCCAGACCCACTACTTCTCCAAAGAAATCTGGTAGCGCCGGGAATTGAACGCGGACCTCTGGATCTCTAGCCAGGAACGCTGACCACTAGACCACAGACAGTCGCTATGAAGATATATGGGGGAATGAATGTATAGACCCACGTTTTCTTGACCTCAGCACTAGTTACCCCTGGTAGTCATTAGATAGGAGGCTAGGTGGACCCCAGAGCAGGTCACGACATTGAGAAGTGCAAATAACTGCCCCCATCAGGACTCAAACTCCGACCCTTTGGTTGTCCAGCCCATAGCCACTCACTATACTGACTAAATTAATATTACTAATAATAATAATTATTAATAAATTAATAATAATTCCAAGAAAAATTAAAGTTAGCATTAACAGGCGAGAAAAANCGGGACGGATGGTAAGCACCAGTACCGGTAGGATATAGAGGCTGGTAGAAATCATAGAGGGAAGCACAATGGACCACTACAGGTCTAAGTGCATGGGGAAACCCACCCTCTCTAATAACTAACTAACAGGCGAGAAAAATAAAATAAGTACATTTTGAATGGTTATTCCATTATGTGATGACAAAGGACAATACACATACATACAAACATAGAAGTTAATAATAATAATAACCCAACTAATTCTTATTTATTCGTGTGTCAGCTCAATATCCTAATTCAATTCAATTCAATTCATGTTTATTTGTGTGCAACTTAACAGCACAGAAGCCAATTACAAGGTTAGCATGAGTACATAGAACTACATAAAAATAACTAAAAAACAAATACAAAATTTGAGAGTCTACATAATGACAATAGATTAAAAATAATTCCAAGAAAAATTAAAGTTAACATTAACAGGAGAGAACAATAAAATAAGACCAATAATAATAATAAAGGTTAATTCAACATCCAGTGTAACCAGAACAAAAGCATACAGTGTACACTTAGGAAGCACATGCATGTAAAGCAGGGGTCTCCAAACTTTTTGAACCGCGTGCCACATTAGGTAATTCAGCACTTTCCACGGGCCGGATAAAATGAGAAACTAATAACTCTAGGTATATGAGTTTTATTGAAAGCACAGAATTTCATAAACTAAATACAAAGTATGTGAGAATAAATTATCGTATATTAATGACAACAGACAGTAGCAGCAAATGCTCATATTTTCATCATAAATTATAATAAAACAATTAATGTGAATGATGGAACTCTTTTTGCATTCTTAAAATCTGATTAAATTGAGGTTCAAATTTTGAAACGCTAATCACAAGTAGCGACTTTAAATGTTCATCGGATAAATTTGCCATGTATTTCAACTTTATGTAGTCCATCTGGGAAAAAGTTTGTTCACACAGATATGTCGTCCCAAAAATGGAGATAAATTTACAAGCAAATTTCTTTAAATTTGGAAATTGCTCAGATTTCAGAAATTTATAAAATTCGATCAAATTTCCTTCCTTGTATTAG